ATATAATATAATGTGATATAATTTGAAGCCCTTGTTGAACTTTTGCCTGAAAAACATTGCCAACCCAGCAGAGCATCTACAAAACAAGCAAAAGATTTTTATTTTATTTTCATCGCAAATTTTGCACGCCACCTTCTCTTTTTTTTTACGCTGTTGTATTTTCTCTGCAGGGAATAAAAAAAAGAGGTAAGGAGAAAATTCCCAATATCTCCTGACTGTCTCCCTTTTCTCTAAAAGGCACATCTTAAGTCAAACTAAAGCATACACTCGTCTCTCCCCTAGGGTGCAGTGGCAGTGGTGCAGAAAAAGTGAACTGCCAAGGACCCCACTGTTTAGCAAACACTCCTACTGAGGGGAGGAATTAATTATTCAGAGCCAAGGACCAAGGCAGCCCCATTTGATTGCACCACAAAAGAAAGGTCAGAGCTTTTCATATGAGGAACCTCATGGTTCTGCATCCTGTCAGCTGACAGGACGGGCTATAGTGCATAAGGCTGAATGGCTCTCTGGTTAACAGCTCAATTAAAAGGACAAGGTTGTTTAGGTGAGCAGGGTTTCAAAAGATACAAGACAGATAATAGATAAAAAYATGAATGATATGGAGGATATGATATGGACTTGAGTTTTTTTGTCGCTTGTGCGAATAGTTTTAACTACTTTGCAGGAGTTGGTGTGAAACACTGAGACGTCAAACAGCAAAGGTGGAAAAATCCACTGCGGCACTGGTTAAAATGGTTAAATTCATACAGTTTCTGGAAGCAGTTTTTGTTCAAGTCTGAACAAATAATTTCTTTCACCCCTCTTTGGGAGTTGGCAAATGATCCATTACTTACATTTGAATAGTTAATAAGCAATAATGGACTTCAAATCAGATTAATAACGTGTTATTTAATCTGCAGCAAAATGGCCTTCGAAAGATTGAAATATTAGTCGTCAAATTCTGCAAATACCATATGGACTCTGGTAATTAATAGACTTGCAGAAAGTTTTGGGGCCAGGCTCTCCGTGTAGGTTCATCATCTGCATAATCCGATCAAATTTCCCCCAAGAAGGGCCAAAGCTTTTTTTTTTTTCTCCAGTCATGGTGAAAAGTCTGATTTTCATCAAGTCCCCCTTTTTCCCCCCACTTGGAGCTCACAATGCCTTCTTCACAGAACACACCATGAACATACAGTAGCAGTGCAACTAAAGCCAGCCACAGAATCCTGGGGGGGAGTTCATGAAGTAAATCTGCCATTGAAGTGGAATACTACGGAGGCCTCCTGGCATTACTGTAAGTTAYAATCTCTAAAAAAAACAAACTGTACCGCGGTGAGCCCCGGCAGAGCTTAAGATGGAGCCAGGACAGCAAATTCTACAACCACACAACAAGGGGGTGTCTCTTCCCCATTGGTTTGCCCGCACCCCCAAACAGAAAGCCTCGYCGTTCTATTGGCTCTGTTCAACACGCCGTCAGCCAATCGTCAATGGCTCAGCTCTACCATTCCATGGAAACCAGGGCTTGCACCAGTGATGACATCCAATCCATGGAGCTGCCATCTTCTCCCAGTAACTCACACCACAGTTCCCAGTGAATTTTCAAAAGCTCYGAAAGTAGAAGGGCAAATGTGCAGACAAAGCAACAAACGTTCACTTTTTTTCCAATGCATATTCCTCATATATCAGTCTCTATAAATTAGAAGGAAAAAAATACTTGTTTAGTATAACTGAAATCAGTTAAACAAAAGGTTGTGTTTGTTAACTGTGAGGTTTRTGTTTGAACTGTAAAAATCAGCTTTTGATTTATGCTCCTGGAGCATTCTGGCTGAAGAGACGTGAACAGATTGAAAAGGGGATAGGTCCTTCCTATGATGATTTCTTGCAGATGTTTCAACCATTACATCTTACTCTCTTCGGTCATTAATTTCCCAGGTAATAAACCCCCAGTGC